AAAATACTTAGAAGTTCAGTTATCTCTCAATTATTGTAGAGGGAGTAGGGAAGGGGTATAACTAAAACTAATAGGGGCCAGAGTGCAATTTGAGATGCCACAACATAGTGTGTTTCAAATAAAGAAAACGAAGTTCGAAGATAAAGTCGATACTATAGAAATTACCTAATTTGGCCTAAGGTACAAATCTGTTATATCTTAATATTAATAAACTAAAAATATGTTTTTACGTAGATCTTCGATATTCAGTAATTTTGGAGGAATTACTGCAATAAAAATAAGCTGTCTCAACTTTAATTAATTTGACTGTTTGTACCTATTTTATTTTATTTTTGCATATCGACGTATTACGATATTGATTTGATTTTAGCAAGACTCTCATCTTAGCAAAATATACATTTTCTATGATAATGTTATCCTACGAAAATAATGCTGGTTGCTGAAGTTACAAGACTAAAATTGACCTAAGTATATTCATCATCATCATTGGGGAATGAAACATTATTCTCTTTCATAATTATGTAAACTGAAACGTCATGCTCGTATATAATCATTTAACAACCACTATCATTTCTTAGTATCATATTTATAACTTTCTTTGATAGAATGTATAGTGAAAACCTCAATAGGTGGTACAAAAATATAGATGCAATTTACAAAACTTTAAGTGTAGACGAAGTTTCAGTCCTTTATTTGCTCATATATGAACGAAAATGACTATAATTGTTTACACACTGATTTTAGCCAGTGGCTTGTACAGACTAGTTTAGCTTCTGATTATAATTAGCATAGAAATACCAGTTTGAACCTGTAAAAAAGCACAATTATACAGCTTAAGTTTCTTTCCAAGCTGTATTCTGTTTATTCGTTTGTTGAATTTCGAGGGCTATCTGATCTAGACATCCATAATTTAGAAGTGATAGACTACAGGGAAGGTTGGTAGTTAACACCACCTACTGCCAATTCTTGAGCTACTTTTTTACCATCGAATGATCGTCACGAGTGAATGTGCAAACATGTTTAGTGACGGAATTCGAACTCGCAACCCGCAGATTGCGAGTCGAATGCCCTAACCCTCAAACCATGCCAGGCCATCTGTATTCTGAAATGGAAAATTTTGCTCGCCTATATAAAACCTCTATGTCAAAAAAAGAAGAGATAAATTAGCTAAAACAAATATTTGTTCCATGAAAAATATTTTTTGCTGATTAAAACAATAATAACATTTTTTCGAGGTACATTAAGTTATTTACATACATTTGATATACATCAATGAATCCAATGTGTAAAATGCGTAGACAATTTTCCCCATTATCTCATTGGTCGTTCTTTTGTTTTTCACACTTGGCACTCAAGAATAATTAACTTGATACTTGAATTAATTCTTCCCAGGAATTATTTGAAATCCGCGTAGCTCATAATCTGTTGACATTGTATTTTAAACACCTTCAATTATTTCATTATTTGTTCAAAATGCTAAACAATTATAATAAAAAACCGCTTTTAATGTCCTCCAGTAGCTCAGCGGTAAGTCTGAGAGCCTACAAGGCTAAAAATCAGATTTTTATACCCGCGGTGGTCAGAGTACAGATAGCCCATTGTGTAGCTTTGAGCTTAACAACAAACAAACTAATACTCTTTTACTGTTTTGCGTAGTATATATAATAAAGTGACATTAACCAAGAGACACCGAACTTAGAAATAGGATAAGAAAGTAACTACTGTGTAAAGAAATGACACAACACTTACCAGTTAGCTAGATAGACAAATATTTATTTATTTTTACAAAATCTGAACAATTTAATTCAATTTAAATGTAAGCTTAGTACGATTTAGTTTATTTTAATTAGCTGCCCTTTAGGATTTTGTTATTTTTAATAATAAACAAAATAATAAACTAAAAATATTGAATAAAAATATGTGTGTTCAGTAACGTTTTTAAAAACGTACATAAATAACTCAATTCGCTAATTTTCTCAAACTTCACAACGTAGTGAGAAACGTTTTGTATAATCTATAGGTATTCATATGTGAATTTGCCAGCTTTTCTAGTTTTTAACTAATCTATTGAACGTATAACTTCAAAGCATTAACTAGACACATACTGAGAAGACTACTCCAAAAGACAACTTTTATTAATATAATACGTAAATCAATCAGTGTAAACATGAAAGTAAACGTACTGAATATTCACCCTAGATCTTAACCTGTTTTAAGTAGTTGAGCTAAATTTCTTACTTAACACTATTTTTTTCCTCTATAGTAACTTTCGTAAATATTTATAATTTTTGTACAAATGGCTGATTTCGAGTTCTTTAAAAGCATAATTAGTTTGCTTTGACAACTTATACTTAGGACTTATTTAAAGTAGCTTATGATTGTTACGTTTTCCTCAATCTAATAGTTTGGTTGATTGTAAGGCGACCAGGTGACACTGGTTTTCGGGGAAAAGTACCTGATTTTAAAACAATTGTCCTGGAAGAAAACATTCCCTGAAAATATTTCCGATAAGCTAAAATTCAAGCATGAAGCACTTTTTTTTTGTGTGTAAAAGACTCAGTTTATCTATACGTTTTAAAATAATACTAGTATCATCGCAATCTGAGGGTCACAAATTCGAATCCCAGTCGCCGAACATGCTTGTCTTATATGGTTGCCGACTGGGTTAGCCAACTGAGTGAAACATTTCTTGGCTTATAAATGTACCTGCCGAAAAAAAAATTATAATCGCAACTAATTTCTTACAACTTCACAATTTTAACATATTAACTTATTTTTTACATTACTCAGCATATCTGTTTTACAAATCATTGAAGTGAATCTCAAAATCGTATGATATCGGTAAGATAAGTTTCAGAAATCCCTTGATTCCAATGTAAACTTTAATCCCTTTCTCAATATAAAATTTTCGAGTTTCATAAAATTGGTCAGTGTAGTTTCTCGAATATATTATTATAATCAATATGGGGTTTTTTCTTCGTTTGATAGTAAAGCCACATTGAGATATCTGCTGTGTCCACTGATGGGAATCGAACCGCTGATTTTAATATTGTAAATCTGTAGACTTACCATTGTCCTACAAGGGGACTATTTTAAGGGCTATCTGTGTTCTGCCCGGTTTCTAGTGGTATAAGTCCGCACACATACCATTGTGCCACTGGGGAGCTGTAGCTGGTTGCTTAAAGTTATTGCAATAAATTCAGTTATTGTCTTGAATGATTTAAGAATCCTGAAAACTAACACCTAGGGATCAGTAAAAGTAAACACACACGCGCCCAACAACAACAATCCAAAAAATTATCCGAAATTTTGAAAAGAAGTACAGGTAAAAAAATCGCATTTTTGCTATACTAAAATGAATATACAGCTGAAGAATTTCATAAAAGGGTAGAACTTTTAACTTGCTATAATTTACAAGGGAAAAAATACAAAGCAGCTCCTCAAATATGGTCGTCCTTTAGTCGTGATGGCGTTATAATGTTCGGTGAACCCCTGCTATTCGTCGGCAAAAGAGCAGCCCAAGAGTTAGCGGTGGGTGGGGATGACTAGTTGCCTTCTCTTTAGTCTTTCACTACTAAATTAGGGACGTCTAGTACAGATAGTCCGCGTATAACTTTGCGCGAAATTCCAAATAAAACAAACTCTTATTAAACATGTCACCGACGGCATAGATCGTAGGTTTCTAACTATCCAGAGGCATCTGCTGGCAACATACGTCACGAAGTATTATTTTACTGGTACAACTACCTTGAACCGAACATAGTATAGTAGTTAGTTTACCGGCGTGTAGATCCGTTAGCCTATGGTTCGCGTCTCGTTGTCGCAAAAATATAACATGCTCCGTACCTGGGTAATTGGTACATTATAAGTGTGAAGGTCAAATTCTGCTTTTTGATTAGAGTAGCCCAAGAGTTGACGACGGGTGTTGTTGACTGGCTGCCTCCCTATAGGCTATCAGTTGAAAATTTGAGGCAGCTTGCATTAATATTCCTTGCGTAGCTTTTCGCGAATATCCGAAACAAACCAATAAACTACCTTAAGTCAATCTATAATGAGTCTCTGTGTGACGTCGATAAACACCAAGGACAAATTGTTTAAAATAGTAGCTAAAACAGTTTAAATAGTGGCTAAATTGTGAACATTTCTTGCAATATACCCTCTTGATGTACGAGATGCGGTCAATGACAGAATTTCGCTATATAAGTAATACACTACTTTTTAGAATCGTGTTTCGTTTGAATCGACCAACATCAACATAAAAATATATATAAAAAATCAAAATCTAAAGTAGAATCAACGAGTTCCTTGAAAATAGTCATCATCTGTTCTTACAGATAATGCTTAAAGTGTGAACTAGCATATAGTGATACATTTAGTACTTGCAAGTAAATCTAATTGAATGTTAATATTTTTGTAAGTTATATTTAATTAATAAAAATTTACTAATTAAGCGAGAAATTCGTTACCCAATGATGTAATGATTAAAATAGAAATGAGTAAATTAATTTTTTGATGGTTGGGGTTCGGGTCGAGCAGTAACATGGCAGGCATTAAGGGGGTGAAACCCTGAAACAAGAAGAGGGTAAAAGCCATATTCCCCAACTGATGGATGAGAAATTCGCTACTACATCTCTGTTTATGACGATTAATACATAGTTAAAGCGACCGGTGATAATCCTCTGAAATCACCGAAAACACCAGTTTTGTTTTTACTAAAAGTAACCAAAATCCAAAATGGCTCACTTAAAAAGAAGAATATAAGTCGCTTCTCAAAACAAGTTATATATGTTTAAATTATTTGATAAAACATTTGCTACAACAAAGGTTTAATTATTCAAAGAACAAAACACATTGAATAATTTTTGTTACAAAATGCGAGTAGTAACTGTTTGCGCCAGACGACATTTACGTAGTTCGCGTAAACCACGTGACTCAATGTTGGCAATAGGCCACGTGCTTTACGCACAGATGAGATTTTACTTGGCCACATGAGGGCGGAACTTCAACTATGTAAAGACTGCGCAGGCAACATCAAGAGGTTACATTGTTGAAAATAATCGTTTTCTTCTCTCTCATTGTCCCGCGAAGTGAAAACCGCAGTGAAAATATTTCTCATTACGCTATTGACGACATCTTATCATCCGAGGCCTTCTTTCCACTCTGGGATGTGAGACTGCATTCTGTGACATCGCAGTGTATGCATGGGTACTGCGGTGTCTTCTTCGTGGTTACGCTTAAACAAATCGACTCACTCGATCGAACCATCCAACGTGATCGCCAAATCGCCCAGAAAATAGGTTTACATTTGAGAGAAGGGATTTTTCGACAGTAATAGATTCTCGGCTGGAACCAACAGACCACCAGAAATGGCGGATACGGCCGAAGGAAGTTCCGAGCAGGATGATGTGTCATTCTTACGAACAGTAGGTTTTAATTATTCATAATACATTGATATTTAGCTTTGAGCTGTTACTTTTACTAAGTATCAGGTATTCGTTAGCGATTATCAAGTATTTTATTTCACTGCTCTAGCTCCGATTCTGTAGTTTTTTTGAAGTCAAAGTCTTACTTAGTCTCCCATGTTATGTAGGTATATGTCCAATTTAAAGTATTGTTAAAGTAGATGAAACAACATCTTGTGTTGATTTTTTAATTTTTTAATATTTTTACGTGTTTATATTTAAATATTATATATTGTTATAAAAAACTGATAAACTTTGTATATTTTTTGGAGCATTTAAGAATTAGTGAGTCTTAAAACAGTGACTATGAAACTGACTAAAAACGAACAAAATTCGCTTCTTCTCATATTGAAAGCTTTTCCTATTTTATTATCAATGGTTTCTTCTTAGAGAAAGATTTCGTTCTTCTTTTTTTTTAGCAATAATACATTTTTTTGAAATATATATATATAATAATAATAGTTTCCTGAAACGGGGCCGAAGACCGCCTGGAGGGGTTACCTGTTTTAACCACTCGCAACACTTTACAGTAGCATGTTGTCTGTCAGTCAGTCAGTACACACTAATATTACGGCATATAAGGAACGCTTAGCATTGCAATTTGTAATGTCGTGACGTCAGTAAAACGTGCGCATGCCATGAATCACGAGAAAAATTATGCACTCTGTAGGCTACAACACAACATGAAATATGAACTTCAAAAGCAATAAATAAAAATAATTTTTACTCTTAAGTTTGGTTTTATTTACTCTTGAAACAGAACACTTTCGGGTACTCTGCGGAAGTACATCTAGTATTTAGATATATTTAACATTTTGATAAAACATAAAGCTCGAAGTAAAATATAATGGGGGTTTCTCTGCTCTACAGGAAAGTCGTGCAATAAAAGCTGTTTGTCAGGGGAATGTTTTTCAATATGTGAGATGAGAATACGATGCAAGATTTAATTTATAAAATATATATATCTGAGTTTAAGCACAAAGCTACGCAACTGGCTATTTATCCTGTACCCATCATGAGTATCGAAGCTCGATTATTAACATTATAAACTCACAGACATACTGCTTAGCCACTGGAGTGGGGGCTTGTCTGAGGACAAGTCTATAATTAACATAGTATGTTACTGCAAGTCTATGTGAAAGGTAAACTGTGGTCAGGTCTATTTATATGTTCACACAACTCAATGAAGAAGGAGTTCTAGTTGGTTGTTTGTGATTTCATTATCGATCACCACCATATTGTTAAATAAATTTATCAATATTTTGAATAACTGAGAAATTGGAGAGTTTCTTGGTTTCGACTGTGGTTGTTTTTGTGATATCACAATGGTTTCTTTGGTACATAATGTTCATTCAAAAACCATTCTGAAGTCAATAAGAAACCCACAACTGAACAAAGAAAAATCGGCAATTCATCTATTAGTCGAAACATAAATGCCTTAATAACGATGGGATATTTATGGAACTCCAGAGGACATTTAAAATTAAAGATTGGTCCAAACCCTACCTAATATTTGCTTTTGCCAAAAAGAATTATTATGGTGTATAAAGAAGATTTTCTCAAACTTTTTTAACGATTCATGCCTAGACATGTCACTGTCACATTTTGTAATATTTTGTACAAGTTCTGAATTATTTATTTTAGCCAACACACGCCTTCAAAATCAGAAGACAAGTTTGTCTTTGAAAATCTAAAGCTACATCAATTTAGCCTAAAATAATGTCATATTTATTGAAAAATTACAATTTAAAAGGGCATTCGAAAATAATGACTATTACGCTTAAATGAGCTCTAACTTATAGTTTGTACTGGGGTATTATGAGGAAACAAGGGATTCGTGTATCATGAAATGTTATTTACTATCAAAGCGGGGTTTTTGACGGCTTTGTTCTGAACACGTTTAAAAATGTCATCTATGATGAACTGAGAGAGAGAGAGAGGAGGCTTGTTTATTAGTTGTCGAAAAGAACAAACATAAGGTAAGCATTAGCGAATAGGAGCTCTTAGTGGTCAGCGCTGTATCCATGTTTTCTGTGAAGGGAAGTCGATCAGCAGGCAACAGGGTGTCAATTATCTTTCAGGAAATCGCGTTATGAAGAATCGTAATAAAGTTTGATAAGACAAACATTGTATTATCACGTGTACCAATCGATTTCAATGAAATGTCTATATGTTCGCTAGGTATCATTGAGCTCGGAGCAAAAAAAATATCAGCTTTCAGTATGGCGATAAAATTAACTTGGATCTTTTTTTCCTTGGCGAACTGATGAAACATTTGTATTTTTCGTTGATGTACTGTTTTTAGCAATACAGCAAAACAACTCGTCTTTTTTGAAGGAAGAGTTCGTGAAGTATATTTGAACTGGAATAAATCACCTGTAAGAATCATTGTTTATAAATGTCTGATAGAGTGTACGAATGTTTCGTATATATATTCTTTCTTAGTTAACCAAGAGATTACAACATCCAACCTTGTTTTTTTAATTTATTTTTATTATTGTAAATACATCTTTTTTTTTTTTGTCAATTTCTCAGACGTGTTTCTTGATGAATATGAATAAATGAAAGGTTAATTGTTCATTAACTGACTATTACTAGCTGGAAGTTATATAAATTCGTCATTAATGAAAGGTTATCTTAGGACATGAAAAGCTGCTTCCCTTATATTTAATTGTAAAAAACGCCCATTAAAACTGCAAAACACAAAATGTGAAACTGTAAAGTTGCGTGTATCTTCCCATGGACCCAATAAATTTCCATACCAAATGTGGTAAAGATCCATCTAAAGAGGATGGAGTAGTGGTAAAAAATGCAAAACTCCCAATAAAAACTGCAAAACTGAAAATACGTATCTCCGCATGAACCTAATGAACCTTCTCACCAATTTTGGTGAAGATCCATTCACACCCTGCGAAGTAGTTACATGAAGATACAACAGACAGTACTATTATATTTATATAGATTCATCACCAAGAAAAGGGCCCATTGCGGTAAATAAAATTCTCTCGTCAATCTTGAAAAAATCACGTGCTATAAATGTCTCGAAATAATCTAAAAGTGTATGCTAATCAATATAAAATTAATAAAAATTTTATAAGACAAAATGTGAAAAGTCAGTAGGCAATTCAGTTTTTGGTAAAACAGCACCGAAGGTCAAAGCCATCGATAGACCCAATTCAGAAACAACAGATAACAAAACTGATAAAGTTCTAGTATGTTTTATAACATGAAAGATGAAGTTTGACTTACAAAATCAGTCAATCGTAACATATTTGCACCATCAGGATGCATTATATCTAACATCTGTAGACATGTGTTTAAAAGGGCACAATGACCGATGTTATTTTCTTGTCAACAGTTAACGTTTATCAATTTTTTGTAAGCAACAATTTGTTCCTGACTTCAGTGGTATCGAAAGTTTGTTTGTTTGTAGTTAAGCACAAAGCTACACAAACGGCTATCTGTGCTCTGCTCACGGGTATCGAAACTTGGTTTCTAGCGTTGTAAGTTCGTAGACATACAGACATACCGCTGTGTCACTGGGGGTCTGGTACCGAAAGAAGTAGTACTGTTGACAGATATAAAAGTAGTTAAAGGCGCACTGCGAATATTTTCTAACTAAAGCTTCTTTATATTTTATATTCTGACAACAGACTGGCAGACAGTGTTTATACAGATTTACTTGAAGGCAGTGTCCTTCAGGTTGTAAAAGCAGAAACGGTATCTCTGTAGAGTAGAATTGTTATTTGTTCCTTGAAGATAGTTCCATACAACTGAAAACTTTCATGTAGACACTACTGAAGTACAAGCTTTTATAAAAATAACTTTGTGTGCCTCCGGAAATATTTATTCTGAGAATAATGCAATCTCAAGTCCAGGTCAATATAAAATAAATTAACTAAAATGAATCATGGTGAAATGAAGTTTGGTTTGAATTTCGCGCAAAACTACACGAGGTCTATCTGCGTTAGCCGTCCCCAACTAAGTAGTGAAAGACTATAGAGAAGGCAGCTTGTCATCACCACCCATTGCCAACTCTTGAGCTACTCTTTTGCCAACGAATAGTAGAATTGACTGTCACATTATAACGCCCCCACGGTTGAAAGGGCGAGCATATTTGGTGGAACGGGGATTAAAACCCGTGACTCTCAGATTGCGAGTCAAGTGCCTTAACCTCTTGGCCATGAAATGAAGTAACGGCCCATTCTGAGAGAGGAAAAAAAACCTCGTTCAGTGTATGAAAAAAGTACACAGTTTCCTTTTTGTGTACAATAAAGTAATATATTCAATTGGAGCTTAAATCTTCAGAGCAGAATATATACATGACATGTGTACATGTAATATTTTTCAATCTCAAGCTGATCAAGCTCGAAAATGACTAATAAGGCCGCTTAGGTTTGGTTTGTTATAGATTTCGAGCAAAGCTACACGAGGTCTATCTGCGTTAGCCGTCCCTAATTTAGCAGTGTAGACTAGAGGGAAGGCAGCTAGTCATCACCACCCACCGCCAACTCTTGGACTACTCTTTTAACAACGAATAGTGGGATTGACCGTAACATTATAACGCACCCACAGCTGAAAGGGCGAGCATGTTTGGTGTGACGGGGATTCGAACTCGCGACCCTCAGATTGCGAGTCGAGCGCCCTAACCACCTGGCCATGCCGGTCAAGGCCGCTTAAGGAAAAGCTATTTTTGCTTCCAGTTTACTTAATTACAGATTAGAATTAACAATCCAATTCTCTGATTTTTATCATGTGAGAAATTACATCATTTATATAAATATTAATGCAAAATATATTTTGGTAGGTAAGCCAATATAAACATTTTATTACATCGATTTCAGTTTATTTACATTGTTAAAAAAAGAGGCTTAAGGATATTTTGATTTTGGGACAAAATTAAAACATCAAAAATTGTATACCAATCACAGATAAACAGTAGTGTCATAAAAAGTATAACAAAAACAAATTTCTGTGTAAACTCATGTAAGATAAGTTTACATATATATATATATATATACCTCCGTACGCCAATCTCACATGAAGAAATCCATAAAAATCAAATAAAATCATAAAAAGAAACACAAGTTAGTAGAGCGAGATGTGGGTGTTCAAGCACATAACATCCCACATCTATATCACCCTTCACTGTGTGATATCGAGACAGTTCACGAAAGTCGTGGTGTAAAGTACAGTGTTCAGACCATCTAGTTAAGTCATGGTGTAAAGCACAGTGTTCAGACCATCTAGTTAAGTCATGGTGTAAAGTACAGTGTTCAGACCACCTAGTTAAGTCATGGTCTAAAGTACAGTGTTCAGACCATCTAGTTAAGTCATGGTCTAAAGTACAGTGTTCAGACCACATAGTTAAGTCATGGTGTAAAGTACAGTGTTCAGACCATCTAGTTAAGTCATGGTGTAAAGTACAGTGTTCAGACCACCCAGTTAAGTCATGGTGTAAATTACAGTGTTCAGACCATCTAGTTAAGTCATGGTGTAAAGTACAGTGTTCAGACCACCTAGTTAAGTCATGGTGTAAAGTACAGTGGTTAAGACTGATAGATAGACGGTGTATCTCCACCGCAATGGGGGTCATACTTCCGCAGTCACCTCCAAAACCCAGGGCACATTTTATATCCCACATTATTGCCTGTACCCTGGGGATACTTTCAATTTATGCAGCGCCTTTAATTAATTTTTTTAGGCTTGTTTTTGTTCAATTAAACGTCATTTATCACATTTTTGGTATTTGTCTGTTTTTAACGTCAGTCCTTTTTGTATTTTATTTTGCTTGACTGTTTAAATATTTCTCTCTCTCTCTCTTTATATATATATATATACATATAGTATCTTCTTCTGATACAGCGAGATGAAACATAAATGTAAACAGAAGACTAAATCTTTAGATAGTATTATAGATTTGGTGTTGTGTTCGAGAGGAAGAAAAGAGAACGTCTCACCCGAATATGAATCAAAACCTGTCTTTGTGTTGTGATCAACACGTAATCTACATTCCACAATGTAACTCTTTTCACACACCTCCTTTATTGGTTAATTCATTCATGATATCGAGACGGTTCAAAGAAGTCATGGTGTAAAGTACAGTGTACAAATAATGTACATAAGTCAGAGTGTAAAGAACAGCGTCCAGATAGTTACTTCAGTTCTGGTGCAGCATCTAGACAACTGACTTAAGTTATGGTGTAAAGTATGAAATCTAGATATTCCATAAAAATAACAGTAGAATTTATATCAAAAGAGCTTACTGATATTATGATATAATATTTGACATGGAAAAACTATTTGTGTCCCTTCTGCTATTATTTTTTGTTTTTGGAAATTGATATCAGGTTGATGAGTGACGTATCAAAAGGAATCGTACTTTAACTTATCTTAAGATTTGTATTCTTAAGGAATGTTTCATGTTAATTACCAAATTATTTAAAAAATACATCATATGAACTTATTATTTTACTGTGTGTTAAAATCAGTAAAAATTTTCATTTACTACCGTTATTTATCTACTTTATCGAAGTAGTAAATCGCAACAAACACCCATACTTTGTAAATTACTGTTTAAACGGTCTATTTTTAATTCATAACAGAATTATATAACACTAAACACGCTTGTCAATATACAGTCATTAAGACCATTATTAGGGTACATAATAGATACATAAATATTTCCATATACCGAAAGCCAGGTGGTTAGGGCGCTGGACTCGCAATATGGGGGTCGCTGGTTCGAATCCCCGTCCCACCAAACATGCTCGCCCTTTCAGCCGTGGGGGCGTTATAATGTGACGGTCAATCTCACTATTCGTTGGTAAAAGAGTAGCCCAGGAGTTGGCGGTGGATGGGGATGACTAGCTACATGAGGGCTATCTGCATTAGTCGTCCCTGTTTTAGCATTGATAGACTAGAGAGAAGGCAGCTATACAACACTACCCACCGCCAACTATTGAGCTACTCTTTTACCAACGTTGGATTGACCGTCGCATTATAATGCACCCACGGCTGAAAGGATTAGCATGTTTGATTAGCAAGATTCGAACACGTGACCCTAAGATTGCGAGTTCAGCGCCCTAACTATCAGGGCATGTCATACTCCAATGTGTAAAGCTACCAGATCATAAATGCATATGTTAAAGTGTATGGTTATAAATACGTAACTTAAATGTTTGTAACCATAAGAAATTGAAAGGACTTTGATAATTGTGTATAATACATTAAAGTGGGGAAAATACGTTAAATTTTTTTCTACTTAATGAAAAACAATGCTAATAAGTCCATTTTTAGGGTAAGTCTAGATATTTAAAGCTAAAATGAATAACTATAGTAAAAAAAAAGTTTTGTATGCCACTGGAACAAACTGTACCGTGTTATCACAAGGAAGATTAATCTTCATCATTTTACAGTTTCTTTGTATACCACTGGAACAAACTGTAGCGTGTTATCACAAGGAAGATTAATCTTCATCATTTTAGAGTTTCTTTGTATGCCACTGGAACAAACTGTACCGGGTTATCACAAGGAAGATCGATCTTCAACCATTTACAGTTTCTTTGTTTGTATGCCACTGGAACAAACTGTACCGTGTTATCAAAAGGAGATCGATCTTCATCCATTTACAGTTTTTGTTTGTACGCCACTGGAATAAACTGTACCGTGTTATCACAAGGAAGGTTGATCCTCATCCTTTTACAGTTTCTTTGTATGCCACTGGAACAAACTGTACCGGGTTATCAAAAGGAAGATCGATCTTCATCCTTTTACAGTTTCTTTGTTTGCATGCCACTGGAACAAACTGTATCGGGTTATCACAAGGAAGATTTACAGCGAACATAGTTTCTTTGTGTTATAAGAAAGTAGAGACTTACTGTATCGATTGCTGAGTGTGAATTTCACGTTTTATAGCGTACAATCTGACAAAATAAAGTATCTAAGAAGAATCTGTTTGACAGTAATGTTTTGATCACTTTCTCAAGCCTACAGAATATGCACATAGATCTTTCACTTAAATCCTGTGAAACAAGAACATGGAGTAACTTGAAATTACTTATACGCAGATGCACAGACTATAGACTTAAGGCCACAGTTGTTGTTGTTTTTTCATTCAGGTAGATTGCTTTCCATATCCCCTTTTAAAACCTGTAAACAAGAATAAATTTCAGTTGAATCAAAACCAAAATATTAGTCTCTTAACAGCTCATTCCTGGAGTCGGATGCGTTGTTTGTGTATTAACTTCAATAAAAAAAACTTGTAAAATTCTTAGATTATCTTTGGCCTCGGAAACTGTAAAACAAACCCACTACAAATAACTCAAACTTTGTAACTTTATTTTTAATAATTTCTCTATAGAAAAGAAAAGAGAGAGACAAAATACCCAAATAAAACTAAACCGAAAGAGGAATTCAATTTTTATTATTCGATGCTGATTTAAATTTTTAAAAAGAAAATTGTTTGTCGAACAATCTGTTTTCAATGTTTAACAAATCTAATACGAAAGATAAATTCTTATCAATATATATATTAAAATATAAATAACGGTCGAGTATGATGTTTAGTGTTGTGGGTTTTTCACAGGCGATTAATGTAGGTTTAATCTTCATTGCAAATTTTCGTTTAAATTACGTAAAAAAAAACATTGCAAACCAGACGTACTAACATTTAAGTATAATTAATTGAAGACCAATTAAACAAGCATTTCGTGATAAAAACATGATCTTTTATGTATTTATTTTGTGGTCGGGTGTAGCCTATTGGCTAACGTGTCTAGGTTTTGAAAGCGATAGTTAGTGGTTCAAATACTGTTACCATAAAAACACGCTCCGCACATTGGGATCGTAGATGCGTCTTAAGAGTAATGGTAATCTGTTTGGTCAGACAAATGGTCCAATAGTTGTCAATGGATACTGTTGACTAGCTGTTTTCCTTCTTGTATACAGTTCAAAATTAGTGAGAAATTCTGGAGAGATATGCTTTGTGTCCCTTTGTGCAAAAATTCTAAGCAAACAAACAAACACGTTAATTTTATATTTCAATAATATTTTAAATTCAAACCGCAAAACTAACGGGTTTTTTTACTATCACAAATCAGATCTGATTATACGTATTATCTAAATGGGAATATTCACAAATAATCATGTTTACATTCTTTCGTTTCTTATCAACATCAAAAGTATCAAGGATATTATTACTCTTTGGATTTATGCAAATATTCACAAAACTGATATCCTATTTGTTTCGTGCAGAAAAGTAAAACTTTATCTGTCAGACCCGTTGAGTAATTTCTTTTTCATTAACGTAGTTTTGAATTAATTTAATCCAATCTCACATATATTGACACTGCTCTTGTATTTTAATAATACTCTTAACCAAATTGCCTTATTTTACCTGGAATTATCTTTATTAATTTTTTAGTTTATAAAGCTAAAATTCGAGGTTTAATGCCCGTGAAGAGCACATTGCAGATAGCCCATTATGCAGCTTGGCGCTTGAAAACAACTTTGTTTAATAGTTATAAATAGTTAATTTTAACTAAGTAGCAAAAATACTCCCCCCCCCCCCTCCCCTCCGTGGCGTCACGAACGTAGTCTGAGGACGGTTTAACTTAACGAACTAAGTAG